TTTTATTTTCTAGAAATTGCATCTACAGTGCGAAAACATGAATTTCGAAGAAATCTTATATAATTGAAGTTATCTAGATTTTAAGGAGAGGAGGAGGCCTACGTAGGTGTAAAACAAAAAAAGCCTTTGTAACACCAAAGAGATAAAATGAATAGATAAAAAAAAATAATACATTTACTATTTGCAACACTAATTTTTTGCGTTAAGAAAGAAAAATCTACGTATTGTACATTTTTTATTCGTTTTTTATTAACAATAATAGTCATAATATTAATTATTTTCCAATAATTCTATTCGACTTCATTCGATAAATTGGGTATATGAATTGAATCGAGTTAATTGACGCATCAATTGAGCATTATATTTCCTCGGAATAATCCATTCACATATCCGCAATATTTTGTGCTCCCATTCATTACTATAATGACGTTACAGCGACTACGAATAGCAAAATATTGGAAGAATCCAACGAATTGTTCGCCCGGCTAATTGTCCCGTATTTGATAAATGTCCGTATTGGAGTGCGGTCTGACTGAATGGACTCCCAAATGAGCTGAGTTCATACTTTATGAGCCTCACTGAACAGCCGACAATATACGGGAGAGAAATGAAAGAGTGGAACAGTGTTATGGGCACATATGAGAGGAAATGAAGTGCAGAAATGTCGAGCAGAGTGCCTCCGAGTGATCCAGATCGAGTCTAGATTATGAAGTATTGTGATGATTGCGGGAGTTATTCTCGTGCCAATGACCTCACCTGCGTTTCAAAAATGTCCATGGGGAGAAAAGTGTTTCGTTGAATTGCCCAAAAAACAATTGAATTAACAAATTCATTAAAAAATCGATAAGAGCGCAGCGTTGAAAAATTTTGGGTAAAATTTCCGGTCACAGTACAGTTTCACTACATTTTCGAGGAATTTCGTCAGTGAAAATTGAAAATTGAAAAATTGATATATTCATGGAAAAATTAATTACACTGTAAATTTTAGTTTAATTACTTCATAAAAATTAATAGAAATCAGTAAAGTTTAGGAAAATATATTCTTAAATTTTCAATTCATGTCGTCATTAAAAATTCAAATAAGTTGGGGAATTCTTGCTTTTCTGACGCTCGAAGCTTTGAAATTTCATTGAATTTCGAATTCAATGTTAAAAATTATTAGTCAGCTCTCCACGAAATTTCAATTTTTTCTAATAGTTTATATCACGAGTCAGATTTCCCCTCATTTCTATCCTGAAATTTGGAACAAATTAAATGTTAGAGTAAAATTTGGAGGTCGAACGTTCGTGTTAAACTTCAATTTCACACAAAAATCTTTATTTGAAGTGTTCCTTATAAATGTTTTAAGTATATAAAATAAATTATTCACTCATTCCAAATAAAAGGCCATTATGTGTTAATAAATTTGTTCTTTACAAAAGATCAAGTTTTTCTGCATCAAGGACTCGTTTATTTTATAATTTACAAAAAACGATTCATTTGATATGAATAAAAGCGCAAATAAAAATGGCGCTTGCCTAATTCAAATAAACCATTTCCCTGATTGTACAGTGTACGATATTTTTCAAGTGTTGCCAACACCAAAAGCAATAAAGAAACACAAAAGTACGTTGCGTCAAATCCATTGAAGGATTTTCGAGGCACTTGAACCAAGGACTCTCAGTAGTCACTCGCACGTGTCTAGCAGAAGATCCACGGAATAACTACTGTGTGCAGCTCAAGACTCTTCGAATTTCATTCCCTGCATCATCTCAAGAGTGATATACAGTGCTCATGGCTGAGCTCCATAACGGGCAAGTGCGAGACGCGTCACAGCGTCGCACATTTTATAAGACTCCTCAAGTACTTGGAGAAGGACATTCGAGTGCAATGAAAAGTACACTCAGAAGTCCCCCCTTCCCTCCCCAGGGATCAAAAGCCGCCGAGTATTTTCTGTTGATAAACAGATCTAGATGAACGAAATCCAAACGATAAACAAACACTGTCTCCACTTCAAGCATTCATGAAGGTCTGCAAGTTAATTTTTTTATGAAAAGATAGAACGTCAGAGCCGAATAAAAAGTGACACTGAATGAAATTATGTGAAGTGTGAATGAAATTAATATAGAAATTTTAATCACTACAGTTGCACTGAAATTTTGATAAATTTCGTCGTTGAAAATCGAAAATGTTATAAAATTAATGGAGACTCTAAATTCTAGTTCAATCATTTCATGAAAATTAGTTGAAATGAGGAACATTTGGGTAGAGAATATTCTCGATTTTTTAATTAATTGCAAATTCAGCATAATTCGGTACTAAATATTCATGTTTTTCTTTAAAAATTCAGGAGTCATGAGTCATGTTTCTCTCATTTCTATCTAGAACATTAGGAAAAATTCTACAAGTTGCACACCTCTTCCCAGGCATCAAGACATAAGCAAATTAAAATTTAGATTCCAGATAAAACAAACGCTTCCTCCGCCTTACGTATTCATGAGTGCCGGCGAGTTTATTTTTCACTAAAAAAATTGAAAGCGTCAGTCGAATAAAACGTGACACAGATTGAAATTGTGTGAAGTATGAGTCCTAAAAAATTTGATCACATTATAGTCTCACCGAAATTTCGAGGAATATCGTTATTAAAAATTGAAAATGTTATGAAAACATTAATGGAAACTGTAAATTTTAGTCCGGTTATTTCATGAAAATTAATTGAAATCGAGAAAATGTAGGTAAATACATTCGTAATTCTTTTTCATGAAAAACAAAATATTCCTCATGTTTAAATGAATTGAAAATTCAGCGCCATACGGCACTAAATAGTCACATTTTCTTCGAAAATCCAAATGGATAGATTCAATGTACATCATAGTCATTATCCCGTCATTTCTATCTAGAACTTTGGGAAAAATTAAATGGTAGACAGTAAAGTGCAGTGAAAAGTGCTCTCACAACTCCCCCCTCCGCCCCAGGGATCAAGACATAAACAAATAAAAAATCTAGATTTTAGATGGATGAAATCCGCACGCTAAAACAACCGCTTCCTCCGCCTTACGTATTCCCGAGGGCCTGTGAGTTTATTTTCTAGTAAAAAGTTCCAGTCGAACAAAAACTGATACTGATTGGAATAGTGTGAAGTATGAGCGGTAAAATCTGAATATAAAAATGAATATTCCTATATCTCCGAATAATAATCTCGACAGATCGACGAATATGTGCCTGTGAAAACATTTCGATTAAAATTCGTGACCTATATATCCGACTGTATATATCATTTGGGAAAAGCCTGGCCATTGGATTTGGTTATATCGTTCACAGTCTGACGACGACGTCTGAATGTGATTGCACAGTATACATACAAACACAAACCGCAGTCACACTGTTTTTTCATGCCACTTTTTAAAAAATTTTCACTCGCTTTTTGTTCACTTGTTATTCCGCACACACCGCCGGCTATACAAGTCACACCCTATGTACCTCGTGTACGCGAAAAAGCGCTTTATTAATAATTCTAGGTCCAGTGAAAAATTGAATTTTTAACTTTGCAATTGGCGAGCGAGTCTGTGATGCTCGCATGTACGTTGTTGCAAATGCGATAGAGGCCACGTAGGATGTGAGTAGAGAGCGTTTTCTGCGATGAAAAGTACAGGAAAATCCGGGAAAGCCACGTACAGCTAGACTCAACGAAATGAACGTTGGTGTTCCCACGGGATTCTGGAATTCATGGAATTTGAACGGTCGTATATGTTTCCCCTGCCTCGCCGGTCATTCCCATACAGCTCGTGTCCATACTCGGGAAACCATATGACTCTACACTACTCGGTCCTTTCAATTTTCGAATGCAATCACTCGTTTACCTCTGGAATAACTTGATTCCAAAATTCCAATTCCAGAATTCCAAAAATTTCGTGATACAGAATGATACATTCAGTTAATTTGTCGTTATTCCGGCTGAAATGAGACCGGCCGTCTGTAATTTCGGATTTATTTGGGGTATCGATCACTCCAGTCATGATAGCCAAGTGACTCTCTGCGTTGCAGCATCTGCACCGTTAACAATTTTCGTTTGAATTTTCCGTGCTAAATCCGAGAAATTTTTATCGTGTTTCCTTTTCACTGCAGTTTCAGGAAATATTGACGTTGGAAAATCAAATAGTTCATTAATTTTCGGTTCAAATGATCTGGAAATCAATAAAATATGTGATTTTTCAGTTAAAATTTTTTTTTTCAGTTTTCCCTGATTTTTTCTGATTTAAAATCAGGAAAAATCAGGGAAAAATTGAAAATTCATGTCATTTTATTTCTGAATATTCATGTTCTATTGAAAATTCAATCAAGTTGTGAAATTTCCATCTTACTCTCACTGAAAGCTCATAAATTTTCTTGAACTCTACCTGAAACTTGAAATTTCATAACCATTTTTCTCCTAAATCCGATTCAATGTCACTCTCATGAGAATTACTACCATATTTTCCATGAAATTAAAAAAAATTCTATCAGTGTAGAAAATCTATTTTATTCGAAAAAATAATATTTTATAATACATTGTCAGAAAACTATTCCTAAAATTTCAGGTAAAAAACCCGGAAATTCTCAACATTCGATTTAAACAAACTTTATTTGCTTTTTTATCCACGCGAAATGACTCATTTATTTAACAAATAAATTTCCCTAAATGTAACAATCCTTTATTTGAAACTGATTATTCATTTCATGGAACTCAACCATTTCCATTAAAATAAATACAAGAGTTAATTAATTCTCACTAAAAAGTATTGTTGAAATGAATAGAAAAATTTTGAACGAAATATTTTGCTCGCGAAATAAATAATAATGAATCAAAAATAAAGTTGATCAAATTTTTGTGCGGAAAATTCTCCGTGCGAAATTATTCATTCCCACTTTTTTTTAAAACGAAATGTTCTCTTTCGTTCATTTCGATTGAAACATTTTGCGGGCTCGTGTCACCCAGCAATTACTGATGGATAATTTAATTGGATTGTTAATTATTGTTACAGTGTGCAATGCAATCCAGAGTTTTGACGAAACACCACAATACACAGAGGTAAACCCCGGACAAGATGCTAAACTCATCTGTCGAGTTATTGGTAAACGCGGCACATGCATATGGCAGAAGGATCAAAAGGTTCGTTCACTCAATAATTTACTCCAACCATTACCTGTGAATGTACCTCGAGAATTCCGCTGTAGTGATTTCTCTGTAATGCGAGGGCGAGTTATTCTCAGGAATTGTTTCATAAAATGCTTATCACGTACACTCGACTCGAATGCCTTGAGTCTGGTTTTGTCCGTCCGGGCGTACCATTCAACAGTAGATGGGGGATTCACATTTATATAGATTGGTTTCTCATTTCTCATTTTTCTTGATCTTGGGAGGAAAGGAGCTCCAGGCTATTTGGCTTTCCTTCGTTTCCGGCTTTGATGAAAACATCTTCAGCTGAAAAATGATACTCCAGACTCATTTTAAATGCGATTGTCCAATTAAATACTTCAAGGGGATTTTCCCCTCGTCACTGTCTCACTCTTTCTCACTCTCTCTCTCTCTCTCTTTCTCCCGAACGCGCAAATCCATTGTACGTGCCACCATTCTGTCTCCTTCATTCATTTTGATTAAAAATTTCAAAGATAAAGCAGATTATGTGGAAAGTTCCATCCTCGTATTTTCACGCTAACGATATATTTTGACTGGACTTTTAACGTCACTAACGTTTTCCGCACATCGTAATTCCGTATATCTCCCGTGTGACGTTCCACTACGAGTTCGAAGCTCCAGTCAGGCAGTGCTCCATTTTTCATAATCGTCTTTTCATCCGCGTGAAGTTCATTTATTCATCAATGTCCAGCTTTCTCGGTAAAATCGATATGGCTTGCTGGCTCATTTTCAACATTCGCAAATTCTGGCCCCAGCTGGAATTTACCACTTAAAAGGGGGAAATATGTTCGCAAGTTTTGGCTGAAAATATATTGCCTTCTCATTTTGGGATATACTTCCTTCATTGTCATGATGACGTTACTATCACAATATCATCATTCAAATAAACCATTTCTGTGGGGGCGGGAATTTTTACGAGAGCGATATTAAATTCGATTCACGAGGGAAACATTTTTTGAAAATTCAATTGCATTCTGAATTTTTGAGCAACCCTGTTAGATTTTTTGGTCAAAATTTCTGGTTATAATTCAATTATTATTATCCTGAAATGTCAAGGGATTTATCAAAATTCAAATTTTTATGGAAAAATCCGTTGAAACTGTCAATTTCAGGACAATTTGGGTAAGTCTACTGTTAGATTTTCCATTAATGGGAAATTCAGGGACATTTGGTACTTAATGTTCATGGTTTGATTTAAAATCAAAGCAAGTTGGGGAATTCTTGTCTTCCTGTTGCTCAAAATCTTAAAATTTCTTTCAACTTTCACTCAAAACATGAGTATTCAATACCCAACTACGCAGTTTCACAATTTCACAAATCTATTCAGCCGTTTTCATCCATTTATTTTAATCTCCACTGAATAACCGAAGTGAAATTCACAATTTCCATTAATTTTTAAATCAAATTTAGAAATTTCAATTACGAAACTCTCTAAAATTAAAAAATTTCAAAATTCAGGAACATATCTTCTTAAATTCTCAATTTATTTCCGCGCATTCCACCGAATTTCCAGTAGAATTTTAAATTTCACGATATTTTCCCCCTAAATCTAATTTTACGCCACCCTCTCGGACATTTCTAGTCAACTGTCCATAGAATTTCAATGCCTTTCCAACATTGTGGCCCACAACTGGAATTGTGGGAGCAAGTAGAAATGGACTTGAAGCTCGCCGCATCTCCACTTTTCCCTTACACACTTCGTGCTAATGGCCTTTTCTATTCAGAATACATATTCCACGATGTTATTCATTCAGGACGGAGACGCTAACTTTGGTTCGCACTTGCATCCATATCAATTGATGCATCTCTGATATAGTTTGTCCGTGGCCAAACAGTTTCCATTCAATCATGGTTCCATTCATCCTCGTAGAACGTGTCGAATTGGAGCATAAATAAATAAATGAGTAAATCAAATGTCGAGATGAAATGGCTCGCTTCCGTTGGTGAGCAATATTTTCAAATGGAGAGATCGGTGAAATTTCCTAACCGATAATTTGGCTGGTGACCTCAAAACGAGGATAATTGATAGGTGCGGGTCATGGACCGAGCCAACTTCAATGCTCAACTCCAACTCCCTGTTCATGCACAAACTGCCGGGGCAAAAGAAGTGCGAGCGTCGGTGCCAAAAACCCAAGTAGCATAAAATCTTTCTCACCATATCGGTAAGTTCGCTCGCTTCCCACTGTGAACCCTCTGCACGTGAAATTGGCAATCGCCTACTGAGCGAGTGTTCATCAGTTTATATTCGAGAACTATAGTCACATTATTTGATAGGGTCCTGGGATTTTATATTTTACGATCCACTTTTTTCTCTCCCGAAAAAAAAAACTTTATTGTCACTTCTAGTTTTCGAAATAGTCACGCTGTGGTAGTGTGCGCACACAAAGTAAATCCTCCATTAAAATCAAATACACGATTTATTTGGATTTATTTAATTCAAATGAACAATTTTTCTGAATGTACTCAACAATCCGTGAAATTTCAATTTCTCTCTAACGGTGAGTCTCTCCTATTCGTGACCATTTCCAACTTTCTCGGCACAAATCATAAAGTAAATTCTAATTTCATGATACTGCAAATCTCCCCACATTCAATATTCACTCAATTTCGACTGCGACTACACTTTGATAAAACAGTACTGCAATTTCTATCAAACTTTTCACTCCGTGCACGGAGAGAAATATTCAATAAAAATTACGTATCTTTTCCGTAATTCCTGAGCGAAATGTGGTTGTAGGAAATTTTACGGAACTGTCACGGAATTTTTCCGGAGCGTTCCGTAATTTTTATCTGAATCTCTTGTGAAAAATTACGATACCGTCACTTAAATTTTCTGAGTCGATTCCGTACTCGGTGAGTGATGTGAGAGTTCCGTAATTTTTACTGAACATTTCTCTCCGTGTGTAGCTCCCGGTACAGCACAATGACTACAACTACAATTCTGAAAGCTCCCGGAAGTTTCCATTTTTCAACTGAAGTAATTAACAAATTCAATCAAACAAAATCGTTGTGACGCACAGTGCGTTCCCCCAGCGAATGATGAGATTGAAGTTTTCAATAAATAACAAAAGTCCAGCATCAATGGGCGTTGCAATATTACGCTGTTACAACGTCCATTGGCCTCGTCACTGAATGAGAAGCAAAATCGATTAGCTGCTGTGTACAAGTCCGAAACGAGTGGATACGTATTGAAAGTCCCTGGTTGTGGTAAAAACTCGGCAAGCGTCGTTGTTGCACATAAATTTCAATCAGCGGCGCTTTTCAAGATGTGAGGCGATAGTTCTCTCTCTTACACGTGCCACGGCCAGTGCTGTCCATTCTTCGCAGATTGAAACGCTTTTGTGGATCTGCACGAGCGGCTCCAACTATTACTTTTCCACTCGTTGACAAAAAGTCCATAACACCTCGTCTATCTTCTCATGGACTTGAAAATTGGTCGATAAATTGGGGAATTGTTGAATAATCAGGAACATTTGGAACGCTTCACTTGAGAAACTCCAGGTGCACTCACAGAAAGGATTAGTTATTATTAAAAAATAAATTTAGTTATTGAAAAGTAATTATTAAAAAATAATTTAGGAATCCAATAGAAAATTCTATTGGATTTCTATTGACATGTTCAATAGAAAATATTCAATAGAATTCGATTTTTCTATATTACTTACTTATTTCTCTTCGGGTATTTTCTGTAGAATTTCTTCGACTCAAATTTTCTAAGTTATTTTTATTTCATTCTTCTTTTCTTCTCATCAATAAAATCAAACAAAAAGAACAAAAAATTTGAGCAGAGGAAATTCTACAGAAAATATCTCAATAGATTAAGTTACATAGAAAAATGGAAAATTTTCTGTTTAACATTTCAACAAAATCGGCCAATAACTAATAGAAAGTTCAGTAGAAATCCAATTGAATTTTCCAACGAATTGTCGTGTCGAATTCATTGATAGTTAACAAATGCACATTTGAGAGGCCTTTGACTGGACTTTCGCCGTTCAACTGGGCCATTCATTAACTATTAAAAAATATTCATCTGGTCATATTCAACTCTACCATTTATTAATAGTTAACGAACCTCGTTGATGATGAATAAATCGTTCCATCAGTGTGGAGTGGACAGTAGCTGAGAGAAAAAATTACCAGCATGAATATTCAGTCAATCCACTGTGGGTTTAGGACAAAAAATCGCGTAGAACACACTGTTAAATATTTTGGTTGAAATTTGCGGTGCACACGGAGACAAAAAATTACTTTTGACAAGGAATCATTTTCTTGAGAGAAGACTTTATTTTTTTAGGAGCGTATTTCTTAACGCTAGTCATTCCCAGGTGGTCCAAGCCCATTTCCATGAACTCCATTGAAAATTATCAAGATTTAGAAATTTTCCAAATTATTTTACCTGAAAAATCTCAAATTAAAAAAATAATGAAGTGTTCATTCAAAATCATATGTAGCATAATCATCTCATCAGGACCACCTGGGAATGACTAACCTGAAGAAATACGCTCCTAAAAAATTAATTATTCTCCCAAAAAAATGATTTCTTAGCGAAAGAAATTTTTTTTCTGAGTGCACTCGTTGAAAATTTTCATTATATTATCGTTCCACGGAAATTTGGAGGAATTTCATCATTAAAAATTCAAAATTGCGTGGAAAAATCAATGAAAAAATGCAAATTTGAGTGCAATGATTTCACAACAGATAATAGAAAGAAGAAAAATACAATTAAATATACTCATAAATTTTGAATTCATTAAAAACTCTACATTATTTAGCACTGAATATTCATGTTTACGAAAATTGGTGACATGTCCCTGAAAATTCGAACTTTTTTCCTCTGTGAAAAAATTACTTTTATAACATTACATCGTTTTTTCTCTCAGTGCATAAAAACCAGAAATAAATATTGAAATGGAAAATTGCGGGGAAATCATGTCACTCCCCGTTGAATTCGTTATTCCCTGGCCACTATTTTT